ACAACGGATAGAGATTGATCTCGCCAAAATTATCATCGATTGTCATTTCCAGCCGTCCTTGACGACGTTTTTTTTTAATCATACGGTACTTTACTTTACTGTGATAAAATATCTCTTATTAAACTTTGTTTTTAATGCATATATAATATTTTGTCACTTTGAATTTGAAATTCAGCTGTTTCGTTTGCACGGCTGCTTTTCAAACTGACAATGCATATTTTTTCACAATCTTGCTGTATATATAAGCTTTTATTGTTATTTGCAGATGCTGTGAACACAAAGCACTTAATCGCTAGACAATACATGTGGAATATTTAAATAAATATATAAATATTTAATAATATCCTACTCATTATATATGTATGTGTCGATTTTTCAAAAAATTTTAATACCAGAGAATATATTTATAACAATTTGTATAAGATGTTTTAATTTTTAAGCGTATATTTTCAACATATTATAGAACTATTTCAAAAACTGATCATCATGTTTTGATTTAGATTTTTAGCACGTGATTGAAGTAACATGATAACTATTTTGTAAAAGATATTTCAAACATCTTAATTTTATTTTAAGTAAAATAAATTATTCATTTTGACGAAATACAAAATAAAAGTTGACCGTCAAATAGATAACCTTTAGTAAACATTTATGGTCAAAAAATTTAGGATAAACAATAATAATAATTAGTATGAAATAAAATAAATGATTCAATGGTGATCAAGCATGTAAAATTCAATACATGTGCGTGTTATTATCATTTCCTGTTTTTTTAATCATAATGTATTTTGATATATTTATATTCTATTATTCAGGGTGAGTCCTAAATAAGTACAAATATTTTCAGGGCTTGTAGATATCGATAAAAGAAATATATTTTCTCTTTACCGTTTTTCAAATAAGTAAAAAATATCCGAGTTATTTTATTTTCAAAATTAAAAAAAAATGTTTATTAAAAAAATATTTTTGCTTAAATTTTGAGAACCACTGGAACTTTTCTGGGTTTCCTTTCTTATAAAATTAATCTACTACTTGTGTTGCCATATTATCAAGAAATAATGTTTTTCTAACTAAAAACTAAAAAAATCCTTTTTTTTTCATAAGACCACCCTGTATATAGGAAATAAATGTAAATACAAAAATAAAAATGATTAGAAATGACAATAATTTTTTAATATATTCTGACATATTTTACTCAAACTCCAAAAATGTCCAATGTTATTTATAAAAAACAAACACAAAATATTTGTAATTTCTTTATTTTTAAACTAATACTAATACGGAATCACCCACATGCTTTTTTGGAGAAATGGCGAACAGTGGTCTTACGTAAGGAAAAGCGAGTAAAAATAGAAAAATTTAAAAAAAGATCCCATGAAAAAATTTTCAGTTCGAACTGGTTTGAAAAATGTGCCAAACCTGATTTTTTAACTTGTGTTGAAATATCTCTGTTTTGATTCAAAATTGTTGAAAATATTTGAACATATTATTATCTATGAATTCTAATGAGTTTATACAGGGTTGTGGCTAAACGATTAGATTTTTACAAATTGTAAGTTTTGGGTTCGTTGAAGGACTATTAGAGATACAATTTAAAAATATTTTTACAAGATACAGAGTGTCCCAAATAAATAAAAAATATCAAAGTTGTATTTTTTTAAATGGAGCACCCTGTATATTATTACATTTTTAGTTTCTACGATTAAAATAAAAGTAAATTTGATTAAGGTTTATTACACTTAAACCTTACCTTTTTTGAAATATTTTCAGTTTAGTGAAATTGCAGTAAACATTTTAAGGCTTCATTTCTCCAAGGGTATCAAAGTTTTTAATACTAAATATCTACTGAAGTCTATTTATTGCTCAGTTATTGTGTTGCAATAATAAAAATAATACTACCTCATACAGAGTGTCTAAAAGTTTATTTTAAATTATTTCTAGCTTTAAACGGCAATAGCTTGTTTAATTTAAATGGAACGCCCTGTATATTTCAGGAGAATCAGATGCACAATTTAATTGTCTATCAAATTGTATTATGCCACTTTTTACCAATCCCTTCAAGTTTTCGTAGAAAATGCATTTTCTTATAATTTAGACCTCATTTATCAATATACCCATGGAATATTAACATTTTAGATTGTTTTTAAAGCAATAAATGTACAAAATGTACAGGCTAGTAATATTATCGTTTTTAGCAAAATGATAATATTACTAGCCCAATTGTATGCAAAAAGAAAACTATTTAAATCTTTATAAAAGAGTATACCATTAATAATTAAATATACCACCATTATTTCCGCCTAAATACTAATTAATTACATACTTAATTATGTTCGTTAATAAGTTATTATAAATAAAAGTGGATTTGAATCAGAAATCAATATAAAAATAAGCTATGAAAATGGATGTCTCTGTTGTTATAAATAAGCATTTGTCACAAAATACTATATGTCTATTACACATACAAAATTCAGTTTTTTAGTATTTGGAGCAAGTATTATTAATCAACGCAAACAGTCAATTAATGTAGTTTGAATACTGGAATCATATTAATTGGTCCTCTTTAACAAATATTTAAAGAGATTTTTTTTTATGAAATAAACAAACTATATCGACAATATTAGTATCTGTACTCTGTACTCTTTAAAAATTTGGTACATCTTTAAAAATAATCTAAAATGTCATGTATTCCATGGGTATATTGATAAATGAGGTCTATATTGATAAATGACAAGAAAATGCATTTTCTACAAAAACTTGAAGAGATAGGTAAAAAATGGTATAATACAATTTGATAGACAATCAAACTGTACATCTGATTCTCATGAAATATACAGGGTGTTCCATTTAAATTAAACAAGTTATTGTCGTTTAAAGCTAGTAATTATTTAAAATAAATATTTAGACACTCTGTATAAAGCAGTATAATTTTTATTATTGCAACACAATAACTGATCAATAAATAAACTTCAGTAAATATTTAGTATTAAAAACTTTGATGCCCTTGGAGAAATGAAGCCTTAAAATTTTGACTGCAATTTCACAAAATTGAAAATATTTCAAAAACGGTAAGGTTTAAGTGTAATAAACCTTTATCAAATTTACCTTTATTTTTATCGTAGAAACTAAAAATGTAATAATATACAGGGTGTTCCATTTAAAAAAATATAACTTTGATATTTTTTATTTATTTGGGACACTCTGTATCGTGTAAAAATATTTTTAAATTGTAGCTTTAATAGTCCTTCAACGAGCCCAAAACTTAAAACTGGTAAAAATCTAATTGTTTAGCTACAATACTCCGTGTTATGTAGTGAACAACCCTGTATAAATGAATATGAAAATAAACCCAGTTATGATCGTATATGTATATAATTGGTAATTTTGACATTTTTTACAGCTTCACCATTAGAAATAAAAACATAATATATCATTGTTAAATTTTTAAAGTTTTTAAATTTACAATAAGTAATGTCAAATAATTGATGAAAAAATAATAATCGAAATTTTAAAGCGCAATAAACTCATTACTTCAGACCAAAAATGATATATAATTTTCTTCTTGATATATTAATCGATTTTCCATAAGTAATGAACAAATACAGTACCGACACAATAATATTTAAGTAGTTATTATCTTGTTTAAAAAATGTGTCAAAAATACATTTCTGTTTATTTTTTGTTTGAATTTTTGTGTCTCCTGTTACTATTGTTCTTTATTACGTATTCTTTATAAGTCTGTTAGTATGCATAAGTTTATTATACAAGGTGAGTCTTTAAATAAGTGCAAATATTTTCAGGGCTGGTAGGCCTCGAGAAAATAAACACAGTTTCTCTTTACCATTTTTCAAATAATTCCAAAAAAAAAACGACTTATCTTGCTTTGAATATTTCGAACAAAATGATTTTTGCTAAAATTTTGAGAACTATTGTATCTTTTCTGGATTTTAACTAAAAACTAAAAAAAAATTCCAATTTTTTTTCAAAAAATTCCAAATTTTCAATTTTTTTTTCGCAAAAGAAACCTCACAATCGTGTTTCTGGGGTCGAAATATACTACCCCTTAAAATACTTGCACTTATTTAAGACTCACTCTGTATAAAATATATTTTACCTATAAAATCAAAAAGCCTTTTAGTAATAATAATATAATAATTTCAGAAACAGATTGCTTGTAGTCCTATTTTTTATTATAAAAATTTAATATGGTTATTGCAATAAGACCTAAGAGTCCAAAAACATAAGATGTTGAAATTAAAAAAACATAACTATTATTTTTTTTACAATAATTCAATGCATACAATATATCCTGCCATGTTATATTTAATGATAACATTATATAGCCCGTAGACTAGAAAATCTAAATTTGAAAAATATTAAAAAACATTTTTTTTTTCAAACGTCATAAAAGTATTATTTTTGCGACGTGGTTGGCAATATAAAAAAGACATTTTAACGCCTAGCCATAAAAGTAAAGCACTTTTACGCCTAAGCATAAAAGAACAAAAATATATTATTAAACTGACATAAAGTGTCAAATTCAACGAGCGTAACCATAATTTCTCGATATATAATTACATACCAGGTATGACTTTTAAATCTTTTTATATTATATTTGGAACGTTATTATTGTTTAAAAAATTATTTGTGGCGTTTGAAAAAAAATAGTATGTTCTATTCGGAGTAAAAATGTCTTTTTGTGCTTCGGCTGTATGTCAAATGTACAGCCTAGCCGCAGAAAGTGTCATTTTTACTCCTAATAAAACAATATACTATTAGTGTATATTATTTGTACCAATATTTGCGGTAGTACCAGGGAAGTATGAATTAAATCAAGTTGTAAATTAAAATCTGAGCAACGAGGCAATATTTTGTCAAGCGACATTCAAGAAAATACAATTAGTCACTGCATTAAAATGACAGACACAACCGTCACGTATTCTCTCGCTGGTCGGACTATAGTTACCAAAAAAAATATAGAATTTTCTAAATAAATGTACCTGTTAAAACTGTCATTTCTATTGTCAGGTCCCAAGCCGCCTGTTATTCTTTTATCCTTTATGGTCATTTTTTCTCTATTTTCTTTCACTCCAAAAAAATATTTTCTTAATATTCTCACAGAAAATTCACGTTCGTGTACTGAAATCCGATCGAACACTACAGATGTGACAACAATTGACAACGGACAACAATTTTTGACACTTTGAGCGGTGCCTTATCACTTATCAGCGATGTGGATCGACCACTGGACACCAAGCAGTAAATCAAGTCTAAATCGCGGCTGATAGCGGCATTTAAATATATATACAGGCGAGGTGTGTTTTTCTTAATCTGTAGTGGAGAGGTGGGACGTAGTATACAGTAGATATAGTATTGGCGCTTGGATGACGAGTTTGCCGCTTTAATTGAGCGGTCGATTGAAGTGTTTTGTGACGGTAAATTGGGATTTTTTGTGGCGCATTTTTTGTCTGACGACACCGATTTTTATTTTGGAGTCACTTAAAAACAGCTTATTTAATAGTTATCTAGATACCGCTGAATATTTTCTGGAAGACCCGCGTCATCTGCTGCGCATATTGTGTTATGTGATCGAAAAAAAAACAGCGTCACGGTAGCCTTTGCATTTATCATTATTTATGAAAAGTTATACAGGCGAGGCGTGTTTTTTTAATCTGTAGGGGAGAGGTGAGACGTAGTACACAGTTGGGTCACAGATTATACAGATTATAAACTTTGTTTTTTCTTTATTGTTTTTCATGGTTCCAATTTTCGGAGTCGCGCACTAGTTAGGTTACTAGTTTGCGCACATAGCACGCCCACTTATGGCCTCTAAAATTGTGCACAGCGCCTGACCGGCCCTGTTATTAGAGAGATATCGGAAAACCGAATAGCGTCATGCAGTATTTACGCGTACCTTATTTTGACAGTTAGGAGATATCGGTAAACCGAATAGCGTAATGCAATATTTACGCGTACCTTATTTTGACAGTTACGATATGCGCGAGTCAATTTTTAACGTAACGCCCGCTAATTAACGTTACCGCCTGACGTAATTTGCGGATCAATTACACCAAGCGCTATTTCTAAATAACGCTTAAAAATTGCTTAAATGGGCATGTGCGGGTATTTGACAACCGGGGCCGGCCGGCGAGATATTTTATTTTAGGTTGTGAATTGTTTTGAATTATTACTTTATTACTTTAAATAATTATTATAAATTACTTTAAATATATTATTATTATTTTAATTATTACTTTTTATTAGGTAATTTGATATTTAAGTAGTTAGGATTAGTTTTAATTAAATAAATATGGCACAAAATATGGATTCCACCTCTTCCAATATTAAAGAACCTATAGAGAGGCTTAGGTTTACAGCAGATGACGACTTAGCCCTTCTTAGAGAATTTGTTGCCCTAAACCCACTGGCAGACGTTGAACAATAAGCCCTTTAGTTTTAAAATACCTATATACCCATACAGGCACGGTACGTACTATGTACGTACCTGGTACGTAATGTTGGGACGAACGTCAGGTCCCTGGTACGTACTATGTACGTACTAGGGACGTACATTTTCCAACGCTATGTACGTCCCCGGTACGTCCCTGGGATGTGGTAAAGTACGTACTATGTACGTCGCATGTACGTACATTCCAGGTACAATTTACAATTTGTACAAGTTAAGATTCACACTCAATATTCAAACTGAAAGAAGCTATAATCACTTTCAGCTTATTGAACCATTACCAATTAAGGAGGCTACACTCCCTCAAATATTTAGATACTCTCTTTGTAGTTGGACCTATTGGTTGTCTATTGTTGGCCATGTGGGCCCAAGTTATCCCTGCTAATTTCCTATTATCATGGTCCCATCTCAAATTTGGTCTTCCTGTAGGCCTCTTGATGCCGTAATTTTTATGGTTCATCTGTTGTCCATCCTTCTGTCCTTCTTGCCAGGTGTCCTGCCCATTGCCACTTGAAAGATTTGACTGTGGATGACATCTATTACCTGGGTCTTTTGTCGTACCTATCCACTTTATTCTTTTACGGTTTCTCTCGAAGAGAGACCGTAAAAGAAAAAAGTTATATACTTGTTTATATCCATCGAATAAAATGACTAAGACTTCTTATGTTCGATTATAGTATTTTACGACGATAAATTCGGATTTTTTGTGGCGCATTTTTTGTATGACGGCCGCCGATTTTTATATTAAAGTAGTATACCCTTAAAAGCAGAAGAGTTTTTTAGATAAAACTGGAGGAAGAATTTAGTTTTTTACAAGTGTAAGCTGTTTTCTTTTTTTTATCAATTTCTTTATCAACATCTAGTACGATGTCATTTAATTAAAAGTGATGCTGTATTGTTTATATAAGACTTGTATAAATATCATCACCAAGAAATCTAATCCTAGATCACTCTTTATTGTAGTACGCTTGTATATTTTGTTAGACCGCCAAAACCGTCTTGTTTAACTAACTAATAAGATATTAATAAGTCAATAGATTACTTTGGGCTCACTATATTATTTGACTCGTTAATTAAACCAACTTATGGCCAACCTAATCAAATATGCCCCGCTAATTACATCTGTTTATCTTAAAGTCTGGTAGTCTGGTACATAAAATTTCCTGATGCTTTGCAAAAAATATTACAACTAGTAAGTACCTATTAAGTGAAGGACCAACAAATCTCTAAAATGGTGGAGAAAAAGACTTGTGGCTGTGTGCTGAGTCTACTAACAGGACATTGTGAGCTTAATAAGCATAAAAAAGCTTGATGAGATTGACCAACGGAGCGATGAGCAGATTTTGTCAATCTGAAGAGGAATCAGCATCAGAAAAATCAACATCAGAACATATTTTGTCAGTGTGACAGCCTGGCAGTGTGGACATATGTTCTTTTGCAGTGGCGGGTCCATGGGGCCCAGGCCCCCCCTGAAATCTATAAATTTGTGTAAATATTAAGCTTTTCGGTTAAAAATGGCGCCTCAAAAAGCATATTCTACATTACTTTTTATTTGCCCCCCCCCTAAAATAAATTCCTGTATCCGCTCCTGGTTTTTTGTATTAGCGTTGATTGAAGAAATAAGTAATAAATGCTTTCAAATGTATTAGGCAATGATAGGCCATTGATAAAAAGCTATATGCAAGATTTAGTCTCTAAGTTATTAAATAGCCTTTTTGACCAGAACAGAACATGAGAATGTAATAATAGAGAACCGAAGAGGACCGAATAGAGTTTAAAAATCATACTGGAATAGGTCGATAGCAACCTACAAAAATCTAATCTACAAACAGATATATTTTTTTAATGTGTAGGTCTCTTAAAACTGAGTTTTATCCAAAATATCTGTCTGTAGATGTGGATGTAGATGTAGTTTGTATTGGAGGGGGGAAGTTACTCACCGCAACCTTATAGATCTATTGTGCCCCTCTTTCTTGAGGTATATCATACAGTCTCAGGTAAGTCATCATTATACTGAGACCATCAGGGCTTTGATAAAAGCAAGTATCTGAGATTATCTAGCCAGTATCTGAGATTACAGAGGTTAGTTTTCCATCTGCGATATTAGTCGTACCAAAATTTATGGCACGAATGTTTGTCGTCTCTGCGCAATATTCCCTACAGACACTGCATTCGCCTTTGTTTCTTATGCCGCAACCGCACATGCGGCATTTGGCGATCTCCGATCGGGTCTTCGCCGATTTCCTAGGTGTGTGGGTGGAGAAGTCGGAGTTCGGCGACTCGATCGGCGACGAGAACGAGCGCTCGTCTCTATGTTGTTGCTATCAGAGCCCGCATGTGTGAATGGAAAGGCGAAGCCCGATCACGAGCGCTCGGTAGTTGACGAGCGCTCGGAGTTCGCTAAATGCCGCCTGTGCGGTTCCGGCATCAGCTTCAATCCACTGAGGTGTTCATTCAGGGGACATTGTCCTTTTAAAAAACCCATGATAATCCAAAGATTGTTCTTACTTAAATCAAGGAAAATATTTCATCTTTGTCGATCGTAAGTTCTGAGACATTTGTTGAGAGGGTCTTAGACCGTTGAAGGATTCCCATTTTGCTTCTCTATTCCAGTTCATAGTTACTGAGCTGATCGTTTTTCATACTGCTTGACGATCGGATAAGGTGGCTATTTCTTGTTTCCGATAGCTCCTCTCTGAGATAAGTGGTCCGCATCTTTCGATAGCGTATAAATTTCTACCTAAAGGATGCTGGGGTAAGTGTCCCACTGGTTCGGAGTATTTAGTTTTTGGCTCAAATATGCTTATCCCTGTTCCTATTTTGGGTTTGAAAGGATCAATAAGTATACCGCCTTATGGCGTAACCACCGTAACAACAAGGCCGGACAGCTTATTCGTGACGTCATCAACTGGAGGCCTAAACTTTGATTGAATTTGATACACTTTATACGTATATAATGGATATAAACTTTAATTGCACCGAATTTTTAATAAATTATAATTAAACGTAACATTTAAAAAACATCAAATTGATATCCCATCTCACATTATCCATCGTCATTGTATTTATTTATACTGTAAGTGTGTCTAAGTTTCTTTTATTTCCTTTTTTAAGTCTATCATTATTTTTAACAACAGTAGTTTTTCAGACGTGTATTTCTAATAAAAATTATGACAATTTTTACAATAACTTAGCATTATAAATAGTACATTGCGGAAATTTTAATAATGGTGTTATTACTTTTAATGTAATCCAAAGATATTTTTGATAAAAATATTTTTTTATTGTGAATTTTGAGAAACTCCTCATGGCTTTGCAAAACTTTGTTAAAAATTATATATTCAAATAAAATTATATTAGTTATTTCATCTTTTGGAAACCCAAGACTGCCTTTAGTAAGGTTTTTTTATAAGTGAATTTTGTTCAATGTCAGTGCTGTCTGAAAATGTTAAATTATTTTTAGGGACATTAATGACTGAATCTTAAGTTTCTTTTCGCCATCATATAAATGTCGAACACAAATACTATACTGACTCCCAACTAATTGTCTATATTTTCCAAACCTACTTTCAAGAGGATCAGTTTGCAAGTTCTCTAGTAAAACATACCTCCATATTTTACTCATTAAAACAATATTTTATTACTTCAAACTCAACCTGTTACTCAACTGAAACGTGTTTTTTTAGGTTAGGCCGTAATTTACAGCGCGGCACGGAACACTATAAGGCATTATATCTTTTAAATTGTATAATTGCACACATTTATAATCACTTTATAGTTTCAACACTTCTTTTTACAGATTTATAACTTTTTTTACCCTTCTATTATCGATTATAATTACCACTTACTATCTATTATCTATTATATTCT